CCCATTTCAGACTATCTTTATTAAGATTTTTGCTGTTCCAAAATGTTTTCAGTTTTAGAAATGTGTTGTTAGGATCTGTGTAGTCAGATATTGCTGTTGTCGATCAAGATATAACTTCGTGCAATTTTGTGTTTCAGGGCTCATGAATCAAGCAAACAAACATGAAAAATGGATTAAGGCTGATGCCCCAAAAGGCACTGTAAGTTTTAGAAGTCAAAGCTGGTTTCAGTCCTTGAAACTGCAGGACTGAGAATGGTTTTTTATTTATAATTTTTAGCAATGATTAATAGATCCATGACTACAAAAATGCAAATATCACTGTTCACATAAATATCGAAAACAGATCAATAAATTGGAATGTGTACTAGTGAAGTGTCTTGTGATAGGGGGGCTTTTCAAAATTTATACTTGGCTATTGTATTAGTTTCCTATTGCTTTGTAACAAATTACCATAAACTATCGACTTAAAATAACACCTATTTATCAGCTCACAATTCTGTAGGTCAGGAGCTCAGCATGGCTGGATCCTCTGCTGAGGGTAGCCACAAGGCTGGACTCCAGGTGTTGGCTGGGCCGAGTTCTCACCTGGATGGCTCCAGGGAGAAATCTGCTTCCGAGCTCATTCATATTGTTGACAAAATCCAGTTCCTTGTGACTGTATGAATGAAGTTTTCTTGTTGTCAATAAGAGATCACTCTAAACTTCTAGAGGCCACCCACATCCCTTCTCATGTGGCCCTCTCCATCTTCAAGCCAGCAGTGATGCATTCAGTTCTTCTCACGCTTTGAATATCTGACCTCTTTTGCGACCAGCTGAAGAAAACTCTGCTATTAAGGGGCTCACTGTATTAGGTCAGGCCTATCCAGGATAATCTTTGTTTTGCCATGTAAGATAAATGTAATTTTGAGAGTGATATCTGATCATATTCAGTTTCCATTCATACTCAAGAGGAGGAGATTATATAAAGACAAAGATAATGGTGGGGGTAGTTATCTTAGAATTTTTTGTACCATAGCTCTCATGTAACATGTTTTCTACTTAGTAGTTACAACATCAGTGTAAATTTAAGCTTGAATAAAACAAATCATTAATGTGATGTAATTTCTACTGATTCTTTTTTTTGCATAATTTAAGACATAACTCATTAGTGGGGGAGAAACATTTTAGCTATTTTATAACCTGATGTATAAAGATGGATTTTCACTTTTATAATGGTGTACTGTATAAAGTTATTTTATGAATTCTCTTTTAAACCTTACTTATATAATCCTGGAATATTTATACAACACTGAAAAGAAATATTAGGTTTTATATTTTTTATGATTAGTATACATTAATTCTTAAACACTGATTTCCAAATATTGTTATAGTAGTCTCTTTTTGTTAATATTTTTTTTCTTTAGAGTCGTCTGTTTTTAACTTCTTATTTTGGAAACAAAAAGTCAGCTTTGGGTGATATTCCAAAGTCTCCCTTTACTTTACCCTTAATGAAATCAAAATTTGTACAGGTTTCGGTGATACTCACACATTATAGCATGTGTGATGTGGTTGCGATATGTGTGTTAAATTATTAAGTAAAGGAAACAGGCAGTGAGGCACTTTTTATGATTTTTTTTCACTCATGAAATTATATAAACATTTTCATGACTAAAAATAATGTTTATGAAATTAGTCAACAACAACCAGAAAGGTCATGAGCATAACAGCAGTCAACTGTATTTAAAGTTATTAAAGGGATTGTACATATTATGGATACCGTAATCAAGTCCAAACAGAAAAGTAAAGCTGCCGTATTTTGCTGTCTTGAACACAGACTCATATATATGTCAAATGCTTAAGAGCTGAAGACCTAAGAAATATTTTGGATACCTTTAGTACTTTGTACTGAGAACTTGAAGATTTTGCCACTTAGTCACTCTATTTCTTAATCTCTTTTTCATAGCCCACTGTTTCTAAGACGTACTCATTTTCTTTCATTTCCATAGCTATAAAATTTGTCTTCCCATAAAGAACAAATGTGTCTCCTGTTCTTGTTTCAAAAGAGGATTTTACTCAAAAAGTTTTGAAGCAAGCTTTGACGGTTTAACACTCCGGTTTCTAGAGAACATAACAGTGTGTTTCTCCTTGCCCCAGTCTTCCCCATGCAGGTGTTATTACTTTAGAAAGCAATTGCCTCTTTTATAGGTTTCTCCAGTTGTGTGCTTGAGACAGTTAGGGGTCAGAAGTCAACTTTTATGCAGCTGCCAGAAATTTCCAAATTTAGGTAAAAATCACTCTCTTAGAATAGTCCTCGTAAGTCTCTTGGCTCAGGTCTTAAAACTTCCTACTCAACTAATTCCCCTGTTTTCCACTGTCAGAAACCATTCCACAGCTAAGTGATACTACCTTATTACAAAAACTCAAAATCAACTTAAGAAAGGGAGAATTCTTAAAAGCATTTAGCTTTAAAGAGTACCCTTTAATAATACCTGTAGAGCCTTATTAAAACTTAGCAAAGTAATTTTAGTATCTTTACCTTAAATTTTATACTTACTTCAAATTTATAGGGTACAAAAAGACAGTTGATTAACCCCATTTAAAAGATAACAGGAAGTAGAAAGGTTAAAAAACTGATCTAACATTACCGACACAGCTTCTTTGTGGTGGTCAGAGCAGTTTGCTTTCTTCTGGACTCTCAACAGTAGTATTTCATGTATCAAATAATGACACACTGGCATGTGATCATTTGAATTCTATTAAAATCTAAAGAGAGTTATCTTTTACCAGAATAGTAAAAATTTACACATGAAAGCTTATTAAAAATTAATTTGTAGATATGCAGTTAATAACCCATATCTCCTAGCATTAAATTGGGAGAGCATCTTTTTTTGCATACTATAGTTTAAAAATTCCATGGTGCTAATTTGATTAAAAAGAGATCTTTTTGTGATGTTGCAGGGATGTCCTTTCTATTCACAGATAGTTCCTGTTTCTATTTAATTTGCCCTTGACTGTTAAGTCAGATGTTGAGATGAGTCGAGGGTCAATTGGCATTTATTTCTCTTGTTGCTAAGTATATAAAAATCACAAGAAAGCCTTGTTTTCTTTAAAAATGTATGTTTGTGTCCTTTGTGATAAAGCTTCACAGATCCTTAAAATCACGGCTCATACTCTTACTCTGACTTATATGGCCATGTGTGCTTTTGTTTTCTATAAAGAAGCTTCTAAATTCCTTGTCAAGAATGTCACATCTCTCAGGGTTATTTCATAAACTGTAACCTCGGATTTGATAATCTCATTAAAACTATTGGTTTGGTTAAGGTAAAAAATGGAAAATTTACATAGTAGTAGTACATGATTTGGCTTTTTTTAAAATCATGATTATTAGAACTAATGTATTTAGAAACATTTGTAGTTGGAGTAAGAATCAAGAGACGATTTGCTGCTCGTTTATACTGTTGAGATCTAGCTAATGAAAACTACTTGGTTAAATGACGTTGCCAAGTTCTAGATTTTTTGTTCTTCCTGCTTGATGCTGAAGGTCATACTGCTTCCTGTTCATTACTGTATGTTGACTCTTTCACTGACAATTCTGAACCTTTAAGTTGTGTTGTATCCTGTTGCTCTAGAAGAGGCTTTCCTTTGCAGTCATAGCCAAACCAAAGTGGAGGGTCATTAGGGCTGTATTCCTTTTTATAGATGACATTTTCATAGCTGCTTCCCTGTAATAACAGTAATTAGCATTAGCTAGTTGCACTAGAGTAATCACTTGAGCAGAATTTTCAAGCTAGATCAAAGTTGGAGTTAAAGAATTCACCCTCAGGAGTTTAATTCAGTTTTCACAGCTCTCTTGCTTTACTGAGGGATAGTATGCGTAATTGTGCTAATATTCAGAATCCCAAAGCTCAAATAGCTCAGTAGTTCCCTAGTTCAGCCAGTTCAGAGATTAGCAGACACGGTGAGTGGGTAAGGCAACTGCACAGCCATAGAGTAGGAATACTGAGCACACTCTGTAGTGCTCGAGTGAGCCCTCTGCCTGGCATTTCCAGTTTCTCTGATAAGGGAGGACTCTTACCAGCCAACCTGTGAAGGCTGACTGTGCACCAGAGCAGGAGCTCTTAATCCAAAGTCCACAGATATGTGGATGAATTTCAGGGAGGTTCACAAACTCCCTGAAAATTCATGCAGTTTTGTATCTAATATACCTTTTTCTCAGAGAAATTTTGTGATTTTCATCAAATTCTCAAAAGTGTCCATGACCAAAAGATTAAAAATGCCATCTTTCTTAGAAGGAAGAAAGCAAAAAAGTCATGTAAAAGTTGTTCTAGACCCCAATTTCAATGGGTGTGTGTGTGTTTGTGGGACAGGGGGAGTCCCCACATAACACCAGGCAATTTTCAGACACCCGCAGGGTTTCCTGCAGTTCAACTCAATTCTGATACTGTCTACCTGGAGACAGCATCAGATTTCACAGGTTAAGGGCTCAGTCCCACCAGACCACCCTCCACTTGAGATGCCAATCACAAGTCCAAGTTGTCAGTGGCTTCTGACCAACTGGTTGTATAGAGCAGAAGTTCCAACACCCCCCTTATTAAGTTTTATTAATTTGCTAGAGCTGTTCACAGAAACTCAGAAACTTTACTGGATCACTAGTTTATTATAAAAGTATATAATTCAGGAACAACCAAATGTAAAAGATGCATAGGACAAGGTATGCAGAAAGGGTGCGTCTGTCTCTCCAAATCGCCACATGTTCACCAACCCTGTCCCCCTAGGTTTTTATGGAGACTTCATTACATGGGCACTATGGATTAGATCATTGGCTTGATTCAACCTCTAGCCCCTCTTCCCTCCCTGGAAATCAGGATGGGACTAAAAGTTCCACCCATTTCTTCATGGTTGGTTCCCCTGGCAACCAGCCCCTATCCTTAAGTTCCTTCCAAAAGTCACCTTATTATCAAACCCAGTTGTGTTGGATATGGCCTCTTTATGAATAATAAGACACCTATTTAATCTTTATGGCCCTGAACCAATTTCAGGAATGAAGGACAAGAGACCACATATTATAAGAAACACTCCCTTTATTCTTATCACTCAGGAAATTCCAAGAGTTTTGTGAGCTGTGAGCCAGGAGCCGTATAGGAAGACTATATGCGAAAATTATATATTGGTCATTTGAATGAACAAATATATATTTCTTATAAATCACAGTATTGCAGCATCAGAAAAATGGAGTATCTAACTTGAAAACAATGCCAGTTTGAGGATGGAAGGGTTTTTCTAGAAAGTTGGTTTGAATCTTGAGACTAGTAAGTACTAAAAAGGAAAGTAGTAATTGGCAGCTTCTGTAGGATCATAAATGGGTAATATTTGTCCATAAAGGAGCTACTTTGCCCACTATTTCCATATATCACATTGAGTTATTAATTGCAAAAGTCTGGAAACAGTCATTGATTAACTCCAAGCATATGGAGTTAAATTTGTGCTCAATGGCTATATGGATTCAAGTAGGGCAATGAAATTGGAAAAGGCTAAGATACATCAGTTGTTTAAAATGTTGTTTTACTTGAATCAAATCTTAAAAGTATTAAAATTGTAACCAAACTCAACAGAGAGACAACCAACGTATTGCTTATTCTGTCACTTACCACATTGCTTTTTGGCTTATATATTTGCACATAAAACTTAATACAAGTTTAAGGAACAATTTGAGTAAAATAGATTGTTATACTAATTTAAGTGTAGTTCTATGTTTTAAACTTCTTATATAATCTTTATATGCCCTCTGCGTAGGACATATTTATGCAAAAATTATAGTCTTATAGCTTTCCCATTTTATTCTTCTGAAGATTTTTCTCTTCAGTTCTGTAGAGTTGAGATTGCCATGTCTTTGAAGGTGTTTTCTATGAGACTGTTTTCCTTTGAGGACCTATACCACAACATAATACCAAATGTTGGGGGAATCTGAAGCATAAAACATTGGCACCATAAGTTTCAAATGGGTAAAACACTATTCTAGGCAACAGAGCTCCATTGTTACCCTTAACCTTACATCTGCCTGTCTAAACTTTATATGTTTTTCAAAACTCCAAACCAATCCACAAGAATGTAAAGACCCAAATCCAATTCCTTCCTCCTCTAAACTTTAATAGGAAGTTGATCGTAGAATTAATTTCTTTCCAATACATAGCTTCATAGCATTGTTTATTATTTTAAGCTTTATTATTTTCCTTTTGCTTAAGAAGGCAGTAAGTTATTTAAGGATATCTTACATTCCTGTGTATTTCCTTGAAACCTAGCCATAACAGCCAAAACAAGACATTTCAGCAGCTTATACCAAGAAAGAAAGTCCTTTAGTTCTCTCATCTTCCTCTAGTTTGTTGGTTTTGAAGAGGCATTCTTAGTTTCTATTTTCAACGCCCTCCTGCCTCCTGCCTCCCAAAGAGCAGAGCTCTAGACACAACTATAATTCATAGTTGTTGGTAATGATTCAATGCCACTGATGATAATAACACTACTGCAGTTAGAGGGAACAATGGTCTTGACCTATAGGAAAAGGACATGTTTGGGGAGTAAAAGATTTGTAAGTAGTTGAACAAATTATATGTAACTTTTGGCCTAGGAAGAGCAACCGTTTTAGCAACAGTTTTAAAGAATTCTAGATAACTGATAAGAGGTTAAGTACTCAATGCTAAGTTTGGGAACAGAAATTGAGTCATACAGTTCCTCAGTCAACTACAAGCTAGGGTAAATTAGATGGTAACTGTGATTTAAAACAATTAGCAAATATTGAGAATTTAAGAAAATAAGATCGGGGATTTTGACTTCTCAATATAGATAAGAAAATAGGAAATAAATGGGAAGACTACACTAAATTCAGTTTGATGGGACAGAAACAAAATGAGCTGCATATTGAGTCCCAGCCATGGATGAAGTACCCAGTGAGACACACATTTCTTAAATTGGCTTATTTCTTGGCTCTGTGCCTCTCTTACCTTAGCTCTTATTGGTAAGCGCTGCTCTCCATTCCACCAGAGTCCGCTTCAGTGATTAAATTAAACATCGCAGGGTCCCCTGACCATTGGAGGTCATGCTTAGAGACTGAATAGCAAAGGATTAGGCCTCAGGCCCTTCTAAACACCCTCCTCCCTACCGCCTCCACCACCCCTGTGCCAAATGCCAGGAGATTAAGGCTTCCTCCAGTGTAGTGTCTCTAGGGCCTGTTTTAGTCCTACGCACTTTCACAGCAAGAGTGATCCTGGGGAAAAACTGAAAATTTGAAACTGCCCTGGAGAAATCTGAGATTATTTTTAGAATTTGAGTGCTAGTGTAGACTTCCCTAGTCCACTTCTCCTCCGCCCTTCAGAAAATCCTTAGCCCATGAACTACCTGTCTTTACCACCTTACTAGGACATTTGACATCCACTCATGGGCAGACTCCTAAGACCTGGACAAGAGAAAAGACCAGCATGATGATACTGCTGGCAACTTTCTCTGAGTTCTTTTTCACACCATCCTGTGTAGCTGTGTGTTTGCACACATGCACTTTTGAAAAGTATTAGGAAACTTGAAAATGTAGAAACTAATACTCCTGCCAGAAACAACTAGCTTTCTCCCTCCCTTTCTCTCTTCTTTCCTGCCTCCTTCTCTCTCTCATCACCTTCTCTCCTTGGTGCTCTAGGAAATGAAAATGTATATTTAGGAATCAACATGTGTTATGAGTTTCTTAGAGTTCACATGGTATCTTTTGACTACCTTCCTCTCTGGCTTGGCCTAAGTGACTCCAAAACTTTATATGAGATAATTTCGGAATTGAACTAGTCTGTTTTGGTTAATCATCATTACTTATTTGACTCAGTGAGAGAGGTTTCTTTGGATCATATAAAACAGTGATTTTCAAACATAGTATAACACAAACAGTACTGCAGTATATCACATAAGATGGTTAATAGTAATGACATACTGAAGTTTGTTAGTGATTTTGTTTTTTGTAAATTAAAGTCCATTCAAGGTTATCTCTAATAATATTACTTGCCCTCACTCACATGTCCTTCTAGTTTCTTGAATAGGCCAAAATGGGGGTGGCGTGCATGTTGGAGCCAAAACCAGAGACTGCTCACAATCAGCAGCCTCTCTTATTTATGCATCAGTAAATTGAGCACAACAGAGCACATGCCTCCCCTTCTTGATCAAATCTCTGGAATGTTAGAGCTTTAAAAAGGCTTGAGAATCACTAATCTGAAGGCAAAAGAGTAGCAAAGTAATAGTTATTTCTGCTATAATTTTGATTATTTCTTTCCTTCTGCTGACTTTAGGCTTCATTTGTTCTTCCTTTTCTAGTTTTTAAGATGAAGCATTAGGTTATTTATTTGGGCTCATTCTTGTTTTTGGAGATCAGTCTGTAATGATATGAACTTTCCTCTTATGACTGCTTTTGCCGTGTCCTAAAAGATTTGATATGTTGTACTATTATTATCATTTGTTTCTATGTATCTCTTGATCTCTTTATTTCTTCTCTGACCTAGTTATTCTTCAGTAGTATGCTGTTTAATTTCCATGTATTTGTGGTTCTTCCTGATTTCTTTTTGCAATTGATTCTAGCTTCAGAGTATTATGATCAGAGAATATGGTTGGTATGATTTCAACCCTCTTATATTTGTTGAGGCTGTCTCTCTGTCCCAGTATGTGGTCAGTCCTTGAGAATATTCCATGTGCACTAGAGAAGAATGTATAAGCAGCTGTTTTGGGATGGAAGGCTCTGTATATGTCAATTACGTCCAATTGGTCTTATGTGTCATTTAAGAATGTTATTTCCTTATTGATTTTCTGTTTGGATGATCTGTCCATATCCGACAGTGGGATATTTAGGTCCCCTACTACGATAGTGTTTTGGTCTGTTTCTCCTTTTAGTTCTATTAGAAATTGCTTTACATATTTCAGGGCTCCCTGATTGGGACCATAGATGTTAAGTGTTATGTCTTCTTGGTGCATGATTCCCTTTATCATTATGAAGTGTCTGTCCCTCAGTAGCTTTCTTTATCTTTTTTTATTTTGAAATCTATTTCATCTGATATTATCAGATGAAATAGTATCACTATTCCCACTTTTCTCTGAATGCCATTTGCTTGGAATATCATTTTCCACCCTTTTACTTTGAGTCTGTATTTGTCCTTGGAACTGAGATGTGTCTTCTGGAAGAAGCAAATGGTTGGGTTTTGTTTTTTGATCCAATCTGCAACTCTATGCTTTTTTATTTGTGAGTTCAGTACATTTATATTTAGGGAGATTGTTGAAATATGAGGTCTTATAGCCATTTTATCTTTTGCTTTCTGGTAGCTCATTGTTTCCATTACTTTCTTGTCCTTGTGTTTTTGTTTTCGTTATTTTGGTTGGCCTTTGTGGGCTTTGCCTCTGGTTCTTCTTGTTTTATGTTATATATTTCAGTTCTAAATCTTTTGCATGTGGTAACCATTATGAATATGTAAAGGTTTGTTTTCGTTATTTTGGTTGGCCTTTGTGGGCTTTGCCTCTGGTTCTTCTTGTTTTATGTTATATATTTCAGTTCTAAATCTTTTGCATGTGGTAACCATTATGAATATGTAAAGGTTTGTTTTCGTTATTTTGGTTGGCCTTTGTGGGCTTTGCCTCTGGTTCTTCTTGTTTTATGTTATATATTTCAGTTCTAAATCTTTTGCATGTGGTAACCATTATGAATATGTAAAGGTTTGTTTTCGTTATTTTGGTTGGCCTTTGTGGGCTTTGCCTCTGGTTCTTCTTGTTTTATGTTATATATTTCAGTTCTAAATCTTTTGCATGTGGTAACCATTATGAATATGTAAAGGTTTGTTTTCGTTATTTTGGTTGGCCTTTGTGGGCTTTGCCTCTGGTTCTTCTTGTTTTATGTTATATATTTCAGTTCTAAATCTTTTGCATGTGGTAACCATTATGAATATGTAAAGGTTTGTTTTCGTTATTTTGGTTGGCCTTTGTGGGCTTTGCCTCTGGTTCTTCTTGTTTTATGTTATATATTTCAGTTCTAAATCTTTTGCATGTGGTAACCATTATGAATATGTAAAGGTTTGTTTTCGTTATTTTGGTTGGCCTTTGTGGGCTTTGCCTCTGGTTCGGTTGAGATAATTGGGTGTTCTGCTGACCACCTGAATTTCAAGCTCCAACTCATTCCTTAGATTTGAGACATTCTCTTCAACGAATTGTCTGAAAATACTTTCTAGTCCCTGCTCCATTGAATCCCTTCAATAATGCCCATTATTCTTATGTTTCCTCTCCTGGTGGTATCAGCTATTTCTTGTATTTCTCTTTCATTATTTTTCATTCTTCGATTTCTCTCTTCTTCCTTCTGATTTATTTCTAGATTTCTGTCTTTGATATCACCTATCCTTTTTCAATTTGGTCAACTCTATTTCCCAAGCTTGCTATTTCATTTTTCAAAAATTGCAGTGTTTTCTTCATCTCCAGAAGTTCTATTTGGTTCCTTTTGAGGGTTTCATTCTCCTTGCTAAAGTACTCATTCTGCTCATCTAGTTGTTTTTCCAATTCCTGAAATTGTTGATATGAATTGTTTTATATCTACCTGAGTTTTTTCAGAAGTACCATTCTGAGTTCTCTGTCATTTAAGTTGCATATTTCTATGTCTGTAAGCTTATTTTCTGGAGATTTTTCTCTTTCTTTCTGAGATGCCTTGTCACCTTGGTTGTTCACGGCATTTAATGGACTATTTCTTCACCTGGGCATTAATGGAAATGTATTCTGCTTTTTTTCCAGAAAAAAAAAAATTTATTATGTAAAGGTGTCTCTAGCCTGTTGCAAAGAAGGTTTCCAGTAGGTGGCGTCTAAGCCTCTTGGATCCCTGCTTTATAAAAAGCCTTAATAATGCCTTTTTTTTCCTTGTAGATTTTTAATCACGCTCGCTACCTTCAGTCTCATTTTCTTTCAGTGTTAGTGACAGTTTCGTTAGCATTTGTTCAGATTCCCCTGGGGTTCTGTGGTGTTCGGTCTATGAAGATATGGGGGGAAGGTCCTCTGGGTTGGGGATGCGGGCTGCAGATCAGCCTCATTTTGCAACCGCGGCTTGTAAAATCAACTGTTGTTTCTCTGCCTTTCTACTTCTCTACCGTCCCCACTTCTCTGCTTTCTGACCTGATACCTGGGCACTGTTGCCGTCAGAGTGGAGCTCATAGCTCTCCCACACAGGGCTGCTCAGGGAACTTGCTGCACCTTCTCCCATCCTCCTCTCTCTACAGGGAGCTCTGGCTGCAAGATGTGGCTCCTTTGTTTTTCCTAGTCAATTGCCTGACTCCTGGGGTTCTGACTTGTGGTAGCTCTTATGTGCAGATCCCATGCTCAGAGTGCTGGTGTGCAGTTTGGGTGTTTTTTGTTGAGTTTTAGAAGTTCAGCTTGTTGTTTCAAGAGGAGAGATCTGGGCACGTCTCTCACTCCATCATGTTTCTTACATCTCTCCTGATCTGTATATTTTAAATGTCTACATTTTATTGTAAGTTATATCTCAATAAAATTGATTAAAATTGAAATTAAAAAAAAAATAATAAAAATAATTTTAAAAAATAGGCAGAGGACCCGAATAGATACTTCTCTCAAGAAGACATGTAAATAACCAACAGATATATGAAAAATGCTGAACTTCACTGACTGTTAGGGAAATGCAAGTCAAAACTATAATGAGATACCACCTTACACCTGTTAGAATGGCTATCCTCAACAAAACAAGTAATAACAAGTGTTGGAGAAGTTGTAGAGAAAAAAGAACCCTCATACACTGTTGGTGGGAATATAAATTGGTACAGTTACTATGGAAAACGGTATGAAGGTTCCCCCCAAAATTAAGGATAGAATTATCATATGACTCAGCAACCCCTTTTCTGGATATATACCTGAAAATTTTGAAAAATTTATTCGTAAAGACATATGCACCCCGATGTTCATTGCAGCATTATTCATGATGGCTAAGACATAGCAACAACTGAAGTATCCTCTGATAGATGATTGGAAAAGAAGATGTGGTACATGTATACAGTGGAATATTACTCAGCCATAAGAAAGATGAAATACTGCCATTTGTGACAACATGGATGTATCTTGACAAAATTAGGCTAAGCAAAATAAATCGATGGAAAAAATCAAGAACTATATGATTTCACTCATATGTGGAATATAAAACTGAAAGCAATAAATGAACAAGACAAAGAAACAGATTCATGGTCACAGACAACAGTTTAGTGGTTATCAGAAGGAAGGAGAGACGGGGAAGATAGATAAAGGTAAGGGGAGATCTAATATATGGTGACAGAAGGAAATTTAACCTTGGGTAGTGAACACAGAATGCAATATACATATTGCATTGTACACTTTAAACCTATATAATTTTATTAACTAGTGTCATACCAATAAATTTAATAAAATAAAATCTCACAGGGTAGACACTCTATACCTTCTCTACCTTCATTGATTGCTTATTTACCCAACTGTTATTTCAATGGAAACATTTTGTGAATTAAGGAAACAGATATTTGGCCTGTAGCAATCAAGTCAGAATATCTTACTCTGAGCCCTAGATCTTGCAGGAAATCTCTAGTTAAATGAAAAGCAACTATCAAGCAAATAGTTTATGGAAAGATGGGGCTTAGGATGACTGTTAATAATTTGTACTTAATTGTGAGCTGGATTAATCCAATTATTTCTTAATCCCTAAAGGAGATTAACTGAATGAAAATGTTTTGAGAGATGAGGAAAGGAAGAGCTAGCATAATTCTACAAAAGGAGAGTTAAGGTTTTGGACATCTGCAAGGTCAAGGAAGGAGAAGTGCTTAAAGTAGAAGGGCTACTGGGAAAGGTATATGAAACCACAGAGACCATTTTAGAAGAGAGCTTTCCTTGGTTCAGCTCAAAGTTTCAATTAGGCAAAAAATAAAATGTAACTTCTTAACTCTGATAGCCACTATGTATTATGAATGTCATAGTCACATATGCTGTTTTCTCAAAAAACAATTCTCAAAGCTTTTCATATTCAGGTACATACTTACTTGGAAATAAGTCTGCAGTATTGCATCCTTAGGATCCGAAGTTGTTTGCAGCCTATCTGAAGATTCTCAAGCGTTTGGTCAGTAAGCAGGATACAACCAGAAACATCCAAGATGTGTAGGTAATGGCATTTTGCCGATAACAGCTCCATTGCTGAGTCAGTAATCTTAACACACAGCCAAAGTAAGTATTGATTATTTTGATGAATGGTAAACTCTATCCCAGGGAAGAATAGTATACTAGTAAGTTTGGGCTGCTATAATAAAGTACCATAGACTGGGTAATATAAACAACAGACATTTATTTCTCACAGTTCTCAAGGCTGAGAAGACCAAGATCAAGGTGCCCAGAGATTCAATGTCTGGTTTGCAGATAGCTACCTTCTTGCTATATCCTCACATGGCAAAGAGAGCTTTAGTTTCTTCCTATTCTTATAAGGATACTAGTTTCATCTTAGGAGCTCCACCCTTGTGACCTCAATCTACAACTACTTCCTAAAAGCCTCATCTCATACTATCACATTGGGAATGAAGATTTCAACATGGATTTTGAGGGCACACATTTTGGGGGGACAAAAACGTTTAGTCTATAACGAACAGAATCAGGATCCCTGCAAATTCTCTTTAATCAGCTTATCACATGATAAGCCTATAACTCAAGTTAGTGACCTAAGTGTCTCCAGAACAATAAAATGTATGTTTCAGGTGACTCCAACAGAATCTGTGATCTTGCTGTCCTTTTTAGGGTTCTCTGGTATGGATGGGAAACTTCATCAAAATTTCCTTAATAATACCTGTCACATCAATATGAGTAACTTAGAAATGCTGTAGTAATGGGATTTATGACATCACATGTTACAAAACCATAATATATATATATTTTTTATGGCTGAATAACATTCCATCATATATATATATTTTTTTATGGCTGAATAACATTCCATCTCATATATATATATATCTCCTCTAAAATTAACCTGTAGACAGATTCAGGTTGCTAAGAGAAAGGATCTGGACACCACTGATGGTTTGCGTGTGAAGTAACATGGTTCTATCAAAGGACAAGTATGTGAGACAGATTTTTGTAGGCAGGGTGGAGAAAGAAGAGCAGAAGCTACAGGGACTACATGAATCTCACTCTGTGAAATTCTGCTGAGGATTCTAACATCTTGAAAGTTTGCTCAAATGTTCTGCAGAAGTAATTCAACTCCACTACTTAAGATTATTTCACACTCAGGATCTAGCTTTTGAATTTATAGCTGAACTGAGACACTGCAGAATCAACTGATTACTTTTCCCAAAGAAATTTGTTTTCCAACTGAATTTAATCTCTTACTGTAAATGTGTGAACATTCTAAAAACTTGCCATGAGGCTTGACTCTTGTTTTTAACAAAGTTGAGACAATTATGCAGAAAAACCCTTCAATTTGAAATGTACACTTTTTAAGTTTGGAAAAATACACGTCACTGTCTAAGCATGCCCTGTGTTCCAGAACATGCTCAGAACAAAGGTTTAACATTGCAACTGATTCTTACAAAAATGCTTTCAGACATTCCTGCCTCACTGTGTTTGTCTCTGAGGATATGATTCCATTGAAAACAAATGAACAAAAAACGCCCTTAGAATTATAGGGGAAAAAAAGGAAAGAAAATGAGGAAATTGAAAAGTCCAGGACAGGTGGAGCTCAAAATGGTAAGTTTTATTGATACTGGAGAAGCTAAAAAGGAGCCTGACATTTTCTGTGGATCAGAAGCTCAAGATATTCAATGACTGAGGCGAGGTTGTTGTGACTAATAGAGGCTGAGAATTAGAAGTAGAGATAACTGGCTATATTCTTGACTCCCAGATACAGAATCCTAATCTCAGTCCTATTGAGCAGAGATTATGTTATTCCCATTTTAGTGCTGGGTGGAATGAGGTCACAGCACTGCTCACTGATCTTGGAGGTGAACTGGTTACAAGGAAGAGCTGGCCTTCCAGGAGATGGATAAGGTGACCATTCAAGATTTATTCATGGGCTTTTTGGAAATCTAGTCTAGAATGAGACTAATGTGTTTTTAGCTCATCAAAAGCAATATAGATGGAATATATTAGACTGGACCACAGCCTTATGGTTTCTGGACAAGGAGTATTCATATTAGCCCAAGTTATTGTCACCACATCTTCTGAATCAGGATACTTATTTGATTTGCGTAGATGGTAAAACTAAACCCTTCTCCCTTACACTGAGATTCTGAAATAATCTATTCTCCTTTTTTTCTCACCCTAGATATTTGATGTAGGGTGATTTATTTCATAATATTTGTATAACACCCTCCTTAGTTTCTAGGCTGCAGGACAGTGTCCACTGCACAGTTAATAGAAGGAGTTCCCTTAGTTTCTCGAGGAAAAAAAGAAAAAAAAATCCTCTACCTCAATTTCTGTTCTCATTGGAGTCTTTCTTTTGCTCATTCTCCAACTTTCCTCCTTAATTAGTAGAGCACTATAAAGCCCAGTCTCCATATGTGCCTGCTTTTTAGCCAGCACAGTTTACAGTGAGCCATGTGTTGCCCATGTGTCCACATGTTTGTGTGCAATGAAAGCACAAACCCTGCAAGTAGTGACTGCTCAGGCTGCAGAGGGTCCATGGTCAGTGCTGTTTGGGTGCTGAGTTCCTTGACCCCACTTGCTTCTAGAAACAGATGATGCTGGCCAGAAAGACATCTGGTTTCCCTAGTTCTACAAATACATATTAAATAAAAAGAATTTGCTGTGAACTTTCTAGATTAATTTTGTCATGATTTACCACATCTTTTCCACCACTGCCTCTTCCTCCTAAACTATGGAGGAATTAGGTGGTTCTAGCATCTCACTCTTAATCCACTCACCATATAAACTAAACAACTGAGAAGCTATATTTTTAGGCTAGCTAGAATGCAGGGCATCTTAAGAGTGTAAATGACGCTTTAGTAAAGAGAAACCCATCAGTGTATACAACAAAAGAGAACAATGTTGTTAATCTTGCAACTTCTGAGGATTTTTTCAAAAGATTTTTTAGTTTTCTTCCCTCTGCAATTTTTGCTTCTACCAAGTTTTTCCTGTCAGTTTGTTTTGATCTTTATCTTCCACTTTAGGGGCTTGTCTCTTATGTCTGATAATTCTTAACTGACTGCTCATGATTGATGGTGGAGGTCTGAGTGCATGATGTGGGCCTTCTCTATTTTAAGCTTCGATGGTCTTAATGAGTTATTTGTTGGGAAAACCCCAGAGGTCAATATTTTTCAGTCTTTCATCTTGAGCTAGTCAGAGTCCCCAGAAAAGAATCTTCCAGTCTCCTGCCTGGAGGGAGACATCTGACAGCCAAATTCTGAATGCTGTGTTAAAAAGGTGCTTGAGGGTCTCTGCATTCAGCATTTAGTCACTTAAATTCTGTTTTCACTTTTGTACCCAAGTTCTCAGTTATACATGATGTCTCCCAGCTCAGCAACCCTCAGTTTTACTATCTGCAGAGAAGATAGTAGAATGATTTTGCATTCCCCCAGAGGGCATTTAGCAATGTCTAGAGACATTTATTATTGCCATGACTGGAGGTTTAGGAGCCTGGGAGCTACCGACATACAGTGGGTAAAGGGTAATGATGGTATTAAACATCCTACAGTGCATAGAACCACCAGCTACTACAGAGAATTATCTCATTCAAAAGATCAAAAATGCCAAGTTTGAGTAATCTGGCTCTAGGAAATAAATACCCAATCTTCTGGTAATGGTAGGGAGGGGAATTTGCCCAGAGATGTAGAGTAGGGGAGATCTAGAGATCTATTTACTTCGCAAGAATTTTTAATCCATCTTCCTTATTTTAGCCACCCTGTAAACCCAGCTCCAGAGGTACACAATGCTGCCAAGTTTGAAGACTATGGTGTAAATAAAAATTATGTCCCAGCTATCTCTACTGTTGGCTTAGGATGCTAAGCTATCTCTGCTGTTATAAGGGGTGGACACATAGAATGGACTGGTCCCACCCCCACGTGTGGCAGTTAAAAATCAGGAAGGAAATCTCATCTGCAGAGGCCCCTCTGAGGAGCAAGAAGCACTAGCCCCACATCAGGCTCCCCAGCCCGGGGCTCCGGTGCCAAGAAGATATTCCCCATGACTTCTGGCTGTGAAAAACAGCAGAGATTGTGGCTGAGTGAGATGATGGGTGGTTGGAGTTCCATTGCCTCCTAAAAGGCCCAAGCCCAGAACTTACTTGCCGAGAGATTCACTCTCTCTGAAGTCCAGTGCTGGGCAGCAGCTTGAAAGGTGCCAGGGACATACGAGAAGGAACTACATTGTCTAGCTTCAGACCTTTTCTTTAGGGGTGGGGAGCTATTAATTTCTAGCTTTATTGCATTATAGTTAGGGAATGCAGATTGTATTATTTTATTTCTCTAGTTTTATTGTGATGTAATTGACAGGGCTCGTGGTTAAGTTGGCGCAGTAGGAAAACGCTGTGCTTGCTTCCTCCCATGACCACATTAAAATTACAACTGACAGTCAGAAACATGGCAGAGTGAGAGACATCCCCATATCTCTCCCCTTGAAACAACAATAAGCTGAACATCTAAAACTCAACAAAAGACACCCAAACTGCACATAGCATGTCTGAGTGAGGAATCAGCGAATAAGAACTACCACAGGTCAGAATCTTGGGTGTCCAGTGGTGGATTGGGAGAAATAAAGAATCTGCCCCTTGTAGCCAGAATTCCCTACAGGAGGAGGGGGAGGGTGGAAGGTGTGGCAGGTTCCCTGAACAGCCCTGCCTGACAGAGCTGTGAGTTCCATGTGGCCCACAGCAGCGCTCAGTGTTCAGGGTAGAAAGCAGAGAAGTGGGGATGGCAGAGAAACAACAATTGATTATTACCAGCTCTGGTTGCAAAATTCAAGGTGGAGCCACGGCCCGCATCCCCCAAACTAGAGGGCCCCTTCACCCATGTCCTCTGAGATGGAACACTGTGCAGAGCCCCAGGGGAATCTGAACAAAAGCACTGAAAAAATCATAACACAGAGACTGAGACTAAGGGTAGTGAGCATGATTGAATATCTATAAGAAAAAAAAAAAAGACATTATTAAGGCTTTTTGTAAAGCAGAGATCCAAGAAGCTTAGACGCCACCTACTGGAAACCAAAAGAAAAACACCTTCTTTGCAA